AAATCATTTTCTATACAATTATCTACTAATAAATATATGCATACAAAGCAAATCTACTGATATTGTATACAATATACTGTATAGCCTTTGGGCTCAATGTTATTGAAATATATTTTCTAAGTTTCTCTCTCTCTCTCTCTCTCTCTCTCTCTAACTTTTCATTGAGCAAATTTCTTAAATGAATACATTGTATATAACACTACAACCAATACATTATTACATGATATGATATGAGATAAGCAACGTTAAAAAGCCCCTAAATTTTGTAATTTATTTTCTCATTACTCTTTATATAATATGAAATATTAATTATAAAATAATTTTTTGTATATATTTTTAATTCATCTTTTTTCTCACCCCTTATACTAAATTATTATTATTACTATTAGTACCAGCATTTTCTGAAAAAATATTTAATTACTTTTATATATATTATTCATTACATAACGATAAGGTATTCTAGTATTTCCTTTTTAGGCTCTGTTTTGAAATCACTTATTATTAATATTAAAACACTTATAATAAGTTTATGATTTATATGAGCGGTGAAACATCATTTTAAAATACAAAAAAATGATTTTAATTTGTGAAAAATATTTTATATAAAACTCTGTTAAAAATTGTTAAAAATTATCTACACTTATTTTTAAAAAATAAAATTAACAAATAGCAAATAATATCATTATATGATAATATGAGTAAAGTTTTTATTGTATATGAAATTTATTTAATAAGGAAATTGAATGAGTTAAAAACATTTTTTATCTTAAATTATGTTAATTCATTTATTATACAGTATTTTATTTATTATTAGGGCAAACAATTTTGCTGACATTTGACAACTTTTTTTGTTATATTATTTTATATGTTTTATAATGTTTTATTATACATATTAAAAATAGGCATATGGTTCAATACATACTGTATTAGCTTATGCTAACTTTATGACATTATATTTTATGAAAACAGTTGAAAGTTTTATTTTTATCATAAATTTTAATTTTATGTAATCATAAAACTTATTTATTTCATTATAGCAAAAACATTTTATAATACATATTTGACAAATATTATTAATATAAACATATATATATATATGATTCATTATAAATGCATAAGTTAACAAATATATCATTGTATAAATTATATGCAGGGTTTATACTGTATTAAAGTAATAACCAGCATAAACCAGGTATTATAAAATATAAGTTATATCAAAATTAATTGTCTCGTAAATCAATTTTGTTGATATTTTTACTGATGGTGGCTACACTTTCCTAATCGTTTATGCCCACACAAATTATCTCCCGGTGCTCTTTCTCTCTCAGTTTTATGCCTTTTCCATTATTTTACTATACCGTATACAATATACACAGTAATAATATAAAAATGTCACATTTATTGTAACACCGGTATGTCTTTTTTATCTCATTTCCTTACAATATTACCAAAATTGTAAACAATGTACAGTATTATGGCATAAATGGTGACTATTTAATAAATATGTTATTTATTTGTATTGTATGTTTAAACAATAATTAAATTGTATGACAATTATTTACGATATTTTATACATTTACATATGCTTATAGTATAAGTATTATTATAACTGTCACTTAATTTATGGCTACTTATGCATTTATTTACATAATCTATATAAACTAATAAAAATATGTACAATATATATATTTAATATACATAATATAACAAGTAAAGTATAAATTTATTACTACACAACTATAAGTTTTATCAGTTWTATTGTTTGCTGAATTGTAATAATACTAAAATGACTAATAAAAGTCTATTTATTATTTATTATGACTAATACCACTTAACTTTGTGATAACAAACATAAAGTAAAATAATTAGTGAAAGGAAAGGAAAAGAAAGAAAGAAAGAGAGAGAGAGAGAGCACATGTAGATTAACAGTTTGGTCATTGACTACCGTCTGAAATGTGATTATTTTTGGTAATCAAATATATTTATAATTTCATTAAATTCTATAATATAATGAAAAAATAATTTTTGTCACTTTTATTATTAATATATTTCATAAAAACTTATCCCATTTTTTCTGTGCAAATATATAGTTGTTTTTACTAAAATTTCTCATTTTTCATACATATTTTTGTGATGGCATTTATCACACGCTGTGTTGTATGTATGTACTCCTCATCCTTGTCCTCTCATCTTAATATAACGTGATGTGACTTATATTTTATGTGAAGTTTTTTATTTAAAAAGATGTCAAACGTTTTTCATGTATATTATTATAGTTATAAATTGATAAAATTATATCATATATTATAAAAAAGAAAATTTTATCAGATATTAAAAACAATTTTTATGTGTATATGACTTCTCTCAGTTTACTTTTAGTTTTGCTCTTATCTTAAATGTAAGTGTTTGGGATGTCATGAGGGAAAGGGATTCAATATATGATATTTTTATATGAAAATACATAAGCTTTAACATACAATACTGTAAAGTACTGTACATAGCTTTAGCTGCATTTTTATCGTCATTCACATGCAATAACTTTAAAATGTAAACTTTGAAAAAACTGTTGTGAATTATGTGTATAATTCATATTAAAAAAACATTTCAATTTTATTTTTAAGATAAACTATATTTTATTTTACAATATGATATTATTTTTTAATATGTAAACATCTATATAATTTATATTAAATAATAGGACTATTATAACGACATATTATTGTTATATATTATATACGTTATAAATCATAAAAGCATTCATCAAAATTATTTAAATTATACAAATAATATAAATTAATTTCATGACATTTCTATTATATGTTTCATAATTTACTGATGTTTTTTGTTTAATACAATGAAATTTTTTCTTTACTGTTAATATGACATTTAAAATATTAAATAATAATATTTTATTTTTGTAAATTGATGTATTATTCTTATGATTAAGTAACAATTTAGTATATTAAAATTTTAATTACAATATACTAAATGTACTAAAATATGATATCTTATTAACTAAAATTCAATGGATATTGTTAAAATTATTGTTTAAATGTATATAAATTGTTTAAAAGTAAATTCACGATATTTAACATTACTTTTAACAATTAATTTATATATCAATTTTGACAAATGGTATGGTATACATAAAATTATCATTGCATTATTATTAAACATAATTAATTGATAAAAATTGAACTTAAGATCAAACAATATTAAATATGATTAGAAAATATTTTATATATAATAAAAAATAAATATATTAAACAATTTTATTCATCTGCTAAATGATTTCTCATATACTTTATAAATCACTTGTTAATAAGCATTTTTAAAAAAAGTCAATTTATTTTTTACTATTAACTTAAATCATAAATGAGAAAATCATGTGTTTAGAAAAAATAGTATAAAATTTTATTTATTTTTCATAATTTATTTATTTTATTTTTAAATGTATATATCATATGACCAAATACCAAATGGAGGGTTTGACCATGGTTAAATTAATGATTCAAAAAATAAAATGAAGCAATAATAATCACAGTAATCATAATCATATCTTTAATGTTATGAATAATGTGCCAAAATTTAATGAAAAATGTATATAAAAAACGATAAATACATTTATTAAAATTACTTATTTTTAAAATTAAATATAAATTATTACCAAAAAAAGATCTGTTGAAGATTTGAGACAAGACTGAGAGAGAGAGAGAGAGAGAGAGAGAGGAGATGATAAATTAATATAAAAATCATTAATTATTTTTAATTTACAATTATAAGTATRTKTAATATACAGTATTGGATATAAAATTATACTATTTATTAATAATTCTATTGAGATATATCTTAGAATATAATAAAAATTTTAATATCAGTTATTAATTAATATCTGTTTTAAATATACCATATAAAAATATTTTAATAAAAACAAATAAATTAATAAATATTACAATAAAACAGTAATAAAACTAAGTTTATTATAAATATTAAAAATTACGACAATATTAATATTAAAAATAATTCAAGTCATTGAAACAAAAACATTTTTTCATAATTTGAAAATAACAGTTTGATGAGTAGTTACACAATAAATATTATAATAACAAATTTGTATAATAGTATATTAACTAAATAGACTGAATAGAGTGACTAATTTATAGATCCTAACAGAACTTATTTTAATCTATATTTTTATAATAATAATAATAAATTTATTACTTTATTTTACACCAGAGATACTGAACACTAGATAAATATTATTGATAAATAAATTGTTATATTTAGTTGGACAACAATAATATAAGTTAATATAATAAACTAATAAAATTTATTGTTTTATAGTTGCTATGTTTTGTGGTTTTTGATGTTTTTACAACAGTTTTGTATATATTTTAATTTGATTTTTCTCATTTGATTCACATGTTAAGCAACATAATTGAGTTTCCGTTTTGTTATATACATTGCAATCAGTGTTAGGTTCATACTGTATGTACTGAATATTACAGACTGTTTGGTGAAAGTTTTTTATTTTACTTTTTTAAGTTTTAGTTTTGACACATACTGTACGTATAAAACTAATCAAAAAATACGCTGCAATTTCTTTGGGTGTATTTTTTGTCTAAATTCTTGATTGCATTCGCATTATATATGGGAAGCAATTCAATGATTTTACTTATGTTTTGTTCACTTATTTTTCCTTTTTTCATAATATAAATATATCTTTGCATTCAATTGCTTTCTACGCAATGATAACCACATATCCATCAGATATTTTTTGTTATGTTTTTATTCATCCATTCATTGCCTTTTCAAATGTATAGCCGATAGTCTTTTGATGTATTTTTTTGAGCGAAACTTATGAGAAATATTTTTGTTATTATATATCGATTGTATTTAAAGATATTTATACTTTACATAGATATATATATATATATATATATAAATAGATATACAATACAATATATTTATAAATATATTTTTTCTTTTAATTTTTAAAGTATTCATTGGCGGCTAAACAGAAAAAAATATTAAWAAATATTATAGTTTCATTTGTCAACATCAGTCAAAATTGTGTTTTTGGTAAAAAATTAAAAGTAAGTATTAAAACATTTCAAAACCATAAAAAATACTTTTATATAAATACTTTTAAATAGTTTTATAAGCTATCAGTATATATCGTACAACTCGYATGAGATTTTAATAAATTGATTGTTTTTTATTTGCGGTTTTTATTGTTAAAAATAATGTTTAATAGACTGGTATCAAAACTTAATATTAGTATTATTATATATTTTACTTGTACTGTAWATTGATTTTTATAAATATATTTAGATTTGAATTTAATTTTGTGGTCAATAGATATTGATTACTAGAGTATTTGCACTGACATTGACTTTACTTATTGTCAAAATTATGGGAAAATCACATCGTTTTTTTTGTTTTGATTGTTATTATCTATTATTAAATAGTAGACAACACTATACAGCATATTATGTTTTTGTTAGTGAGAAAATATTTAATATAAAGTAAAGTCAAACTAAATCTATTTATATACATTATTTCATTTGTAATGTATAAAAACCGCCCATAATTTTAATGTAATATCATTCATACAAAAACTTTATAAAATCAATCAAAATATAAATTTAAAATTCTTTATCAAATTTTTTATAATTCAGAAATAAATTGAAATTAAAACAGACTATACATATTATCCCCAACAGGAATATACATATCAATAGATAACATATGCATATAAAGCATTCAACAACAAAACTTTTGCTGTTGTTATTTACGTTTAAAATGCAAATCATTGAATAACATTATATAACAAAATAAAAAATTATTTTTCGATAAGTTTCATGATTTCTGTTTGTTATTGAATCGCAAGAATAATTCAGACATAATCCGGGATCACTTTGAATAACAACATAAAAGTTCAATTGTTAGACATTTATCTAATATTAAAAGGAAAAAGACATATAAATCCAAAGTATTTTTTGTTCAAGTTTTAGTAAAATCTAATATAATAACAATAATAATATAAATTTTAACATTTAAATAATAATATATATATATAAAATAGATTGAACATTGAATTTCACAAATAAAATATATTAATACTATTATATTTAGATGTTTTTTGAAATACTTATTTTTTCAATAGTTAAATATATAATTATATTTTTTAGAGATCGATGATATAGTCTGTCAAATTGCAAATCAAATATAACATAATAATTATTATACAGATATTCACTATAAATATTCAGACAAATAACATCTAATATATCAAAATATAAATAATCGTAAGAGAATGGGATATACAGTATATCATATATTGTATACTCGAGTTTGGAGAAATAAATTTTATATATCAAATATTGTCTCAATTTAAAAAGCTATCATATTATTAATTTCAATATTTGAAAATAAAATAATAGATTTTATGAATAAACTTTTATTCAAATAATGTCTGTTTTTAAAAATCTATTACCAAAGCATTTATTTATCAGTTATTTATAAATGAAAAGCATGTACTGTATTAGCAATTCATATGATTTTAGCCATTATATAACACAAACAACACCAACAATAGTATTCATTAGTAAAATCTAATAATTATTTTTTGTTATTACTTTTTTTTACTCAAAACTTGTATTTTTATTCTATAATTTCAATTTATTTTATTACAACAACTATTGTACAACAAAACCAATGATTTTATTACTAACTATATTATGACTATTGTTAAACTATAGTATATATTGTTGTTATAATTTGCCGGTAGTACTGATGGCTACTTGTGTTTATCGAAAGAGATTTGACGGACACATAGTATATAATTTTAATTTTTAACTCACAGTCAACACCATATTATATACAGTTTTCTCTAAAACATTGTATTGTTATCTAAAGCCCTGACTTCTGTACCTATTTTTTAGATATCAGTCTCTATAGTATATACCGTTGATATGGTTTAACAACAAATTTTATGCATTGACTCTCCAAAGTTATTTGAACCTAAATTTTCATTTTTTACGCTCTCATCTCCTGTTTCACCGTTTTCTTAGGTCTTTCCTCTAACACTATACGTCTCTCTTTCTCTCTCTCTCTCTCTCTCTCTCTCTCTCTCTCTCTCTCTCTCTCTCTCTCTCTCTCTCTCTCATGACTTGCACTTCTTTTACCGGTAATGCTTATAAAATCTCAATTCACATAACAGTGCATAACATTTATGACTCCTATTCCTTAAATATCACATTTACAAAAAAAATATTAATTAATAATAAAAGCAAAAACTAGTAACCCTTACTTAAATGATTTATTAATAAAGTGATGTATATGTGGCTTAATAAGCTATCAAAAATATTTTTATATTTAATGTAACTTGATTTTTATTGATAAACAATTTGAAAGTCATAAATCATATAACTGATCTTGGTGAAATCTTATATATTATTAAAGATCAAATAGTGTATATTATATACAGAGTACAGTATATTATATATTAAAGTCTGCCTCAAAATAAAAGCATAAAATAAATGACTATAAAAACTATTTGTCAGTTCGTTGTTTGCAATACAACAACAATATTGAGATAAATGATTGTATATTTTGTTTATCATTTTCTACAAAAAAAATTCAAAAGTAATGTTTTATGTTTTTGCTATAATATTTATATATGAAAAATAGACAATCACTCATTTGCTCACTCACTTAGTCACCGACTCTTTCAAATAACTCAAGAAAAAACATTTATTATATGATATATAAATATACAACTTATATACAGTATATAGAATAGTATATAATTTATATATATATATATATATATATATATATATATATATATATATATATATATATATATATATATATATTGTATCTTAAAGTTAATATTTTTATTGTTTACCTCCATTTGATGTTTGCCAACAAATTCATTTTGACAGAGAAAACATTTTTTTGCTGATATAATGAGCAAAAATTGTTTTTTTCCTTCAAAACTATTGCTCATTAATTTTATATTGAAAAATATTTTTACTCAATCATAAAAATATATATATATAATAACTGATCATTAATTGCAAAATCTTTTAAATAATTACAACTTTGAATAAATTTGTATTTTTTGTAATAAATATTTAAACAAGTATTCAAATATTCTGTCCAATTGTTTTTCATTAGTTTATTATCACAAAAACATTTAAACAATTTAATCTCACATATTGTGTCCAATTGTCTGGTATTCAGCAGATGGTCAGTCGGTTATCATATCATTAAGTATTAGTTCAATGATTAGTGACAGTCTATATGTCGGACCGATTTTGTCGATCATATGAATGACTAATATTTGAAGACAAGATGTCATTTTGTTTGAAGAAAGTAAACGATATTATTATATAGTCTTGACGTCAGACGCTTGACATTTGATAAGCTGTCGGACCAGACATTAGATACCAATGTTTTCTTCAAATACGACTTAACCTTATTTTTTGCTATTCTTTACCCACAACTCCCATATAATTGTTTAAATGCTATTATAAGAGGTTTGGTATTTGTTATGTGGAATGTATAACAATATTCACGTATAAACTTAACGATAGAGAGGACACACTAAACATAATAACACAAACAACAACAATATCATTGACATTAAGATTTGAAAGTAATGTTTAAATAAATCTCAATTTCTTTTTTTTTATTTAGTTTTATACATTTATCTCATTTATCTTATTATTTTATCTCACATTTTTCTCTTAATATTTAATAATTGACAAAAATATCTTTTTATATTATTTTTATTATTAAACATTGACTTAACATAACATAATTCCTATGTGTTTCTGACTTTCTTTAACTATTCCTTTAGGCTCTTATTTTTCGGTGTAATCGTTAACACAAAAAATGTTGCGTTTAATACATATACCATACGTACAAAATTGCTATTTTTAGGTTTAATTTTTTTACTAAAGGCAAATAATGTATATAATATATTTAATATTATTAATGTGTTTTTATGCTTTCAGATAAACTTGTATTTTGACTTTATTTGAAATTTGTTTGTTATTGATTCAAACTTATATCAAAATAAAATACATTATATTTGTTTAATATAATTTGCATGTAACCTTTTTTTAAAAAATAAACCCTTAATGTAACGTTTAATACATAAAGTTTKAAATAGATATATAAATTATGTTTTAAAGAAATATATTTTAATATGTATTTATTAAATATACATTTTATATAATTTCTTATTTGGCTATCAATCAAAAACGTAATCAGTTTTTAATGTGTAATGTGAATATTAAAGTATTTAAGTTTTAGTTAATGCTATTTCAACTATATTAGAAAATGCAATGTTTAAGTCAATCAATTATTAAATAATCAACAGTTTTATTAAAAAATCATTTTTATCATTTTAAGTTTTATGGGATTATTTTTTTAATATTTAAATTCAGATTTATTACTAAGTTTTGAAATAGTGCATAATTGATTATAAAATAAATAACAATATATATATATATAATGTATTAAGCAGTTTGTCAAACATTTAACAAGAATGTAATATTTTAATTATTTAATGAAATATAATTTGTTTACTATAAAAGATATGTGTTATTTTACAAACAAAACATAATTAAGGTATACTTATTAATCAAATAGTGATTGAAAATTAAGGAAATATCTTAAACATAATATCGTATATACATAACCATTATAAATAATTATAGATATGAAAGTTACAATTTTAATAATATAATCTTTTTCTAAATTTGGGATTTTTTAAATTTTATATGACATCCTTTTCCTGTTCCGCACATATYTATTGCTGTAATCTCAGTATATAATGACAATAATTTTCTATTGTAATATAATTTAGTGAATTGCCGTAAATAATTACAGATTTTAATTATTATTAATTAACCACAAAAATAATAAACTTTATTTTGTTTTTATTGAAACTACAGTACAATCCTATTGAATATTTTACGTGACATAAGAATCCCTGT